CAATTCTGTCTTATTTGCCATTTGGAACACACTTACTTCCATAAAATATTGTTTTTGAGAGTCACTTAGTTGCACAATTTTGAACCATTTCCATGGTAAATCGTGAACTCACAATGTAAGACTTTATACAGATTAGTCAATGTGATGCGTATACAATGACATTATACAAGAGATTAAGTGGTTTGTAGCACGTTATCAAGAGTATGTATGATCCAGTCCATAAGTTCTATGCATGAGACAATGCAAAATGAAAAAGATTAATTTGAAATGAGGAATTAAATAACTTAACCCCCTCAAGTATTTTGGTTTGTTCTGATTAACCCCCTCATGTAAAAAAAAAAGTATTGGACGCTCGAAGTATCATTTCCTAGGCACAATTTGGGAGATTGCTTTGCCCATATGGGCAATAATTCAAAAACCACGTCCGAAACTGCACCAAGAGATGAAGACAACATTGAATACTTTAAAGAGATGATGATGCATGGTTTTATCTTCACAATGTTAAGCAGAACAAACACAATACATGGGGTAAGGTAGGCTTAAAAATTTACAGATAATTATGATACACACCTGTTCCACGTTGATGGGATCATCTCTACTGAAATTGACGACGTAATTAAGCAATAGGTCCAAATGATCTCGCACTGCTATGTATCCATACAACTGTATTGGCCTATCATCGATAGGAGTTTTAGCCAACTTTAAAGAGAAAAATTGGAACATGCGGCTAGGTGGATGACGCTTACAATATCCACTGCCAATGTCAATGAGGCAGCCCGCGGGATCTGTTAACGCCATTGCCTCCAACCATGCTTCACATAAAAATACAAGTTATATTTAAAATAAATAATTAAATAGTACTACCCATGCAAAAAGTAAACACGCCCCTTAATGTTCCATGGTCAATTAATCATATTTTCTTTTTCATCCAAGTGAGACCTATCTATATTTCTCAAAAAAAAATTATTATTTGTTAAAAAAAGTGGAAACTATCTATGTTCTCTTTTACCTGAAATTTTGCTCTGATTTTTTTGCAACGAGTAAAACACAATGAAGAGAGAGAGAGAGAGAGAGAAATAGTCCATTTTACTCTCCTCGGGTATTTCATATAGCTCACTAAAATACTTCCCGACTGACTACAAAAACATGTTATTTCAGCCCATTATAGAAGTTTTGTTTTGTTTCTCTCTTTCTAGAAATTCTATTTTGATTTCATCTATTTTCACGATGATAAATAATCATAAGGATGTTACAAAATGTTCTCATGTTTGTCCACGACTACTTGCATAGGTAATTAACAGTTGGGATACAAAATACATCCTACAGAGAATGAGAAGGTATGAACAAATTACGTGCATAGGGCATGATGCCATCTATCGCCTCCCAAAATCTGAACCAAAATCTTAGGAGAGGCAAATGAGATAAACATCATAATTGGGTGAACTGAACCTATTCTAGTAAAAAAGCACAACTTGAAGCAGGGACGATAGCGAAATAATTCACAGATTTAAGTTGACAACCAAAAACTTTAGCGGAGATACAGCCGCAATGAACCACAATAATAACATAATATGATGTGCAATGTCGGTTGATCCTAGACCATGAACAATATCATAGAGGAGTAGTAACAAACGAAATAAGATAGGAAAGAGAGATATCATCCATCACATACCGTCGTTACGATCCGCGATGCGATAGATTTCCTTCCACGCATGCGTGCGCTTGTATATAGAACCGTCACGGTGGCTGCTCTTCCGGAGCACGTCCATGGTGACTACGCCGTCTTCCGAGGGTTACTGAAATCCGCGGCGAGATCTACGGCAACATGGCACATGAATAAGGGATGATTAACAGAAGAGAAATATATTTCTGTTCAGCGTTTTCCAATGTTTTGTTACGAGTACTCTGTATATCCAGAACTATATTAGCCAAGTAATTAATGGGCCAGCAAATAAGACTTTGGCACGAGAAGAAGAGGAAGAAGAAAACCCACCGGGAGAGACGACGGACGGGTGGATTGGGAGGCGGGAAGACTCGCCGTCGCGAGAGGACGGAGGAGAGGGATGGTGGCGAGAGCGAGGAGAGACGAGGCATCGTCGGGGCAGGCAACGATCCGGGCCTGCCGGCCGGCCGGCGTCGGCGGGGTCGGAGGATCGATCGAGCGGAGGGTTTTGCACCTGAGCGAGCGGCGGCGCGCCTGACGCCAAGTATTTTGCAGGCAAGTACTACTGGTAGACCTCTCATCGTCAAGTAGTCGTACATAGTATCACAAAGCTGTTTCTATTAAAACAAAAACAAAAACAAAAACAAAAACAAAAACAAATCGGGGTCAAGATGGACACGGCCCTGCACACCACGAGACGTATGTTTTGAGCTAGCGCGACACGCCGTTGACCAGATGCGCTCGCCCGCCAATTCAGTCGGTCATCTGTCAGCCTAAAAATAGGCGGGGACGTCGTTGACGACGATACGTGCGCTCATCTGTTTGCCGGTGCTCACTGCGTGCATGCATGCCAGCCACGTACGTAGCTTCTTCTTTTTTTTTTGCGGGTGACGTACGTAGCTTCCATGCAGATCGATGGGGCATGGCTGCTAGCCAATCATGAGACGACATTACATTCCAGCACAATCATCATTTAATTTCTGATTGGTTTAATTTGTTGGCGGCAGATCGGGTCTGGAACCCTGTATGTTTATGTAGATGCATCACCGACCCATATGCCGGTGGGTGATTAGATCAGATTAGACTAGATGCTAGTATAGTAGTATATTGTTTGTGCCAAAATAATAGGGCAGCTGTAAGATGCTCATTTCTCTGCTGCTAACGATCTTGACCTACTAGCTTTCTTCTGGTCCTGGACTCCTGGGTGTGGGTGGGTGGATTCCGTGCACCTTCCTCCGGGGTTGAGCTAGCTGGTGCCGAGCTAGCTAGCTAGGAGGCAGTGTAACCAACGGTTCATAGAAAATTCAGCCCTGCTTTCCTTTCGTCCCTGTGGGCTGTCCTCCGTGGACCATCATTTTGTCCTGCATGCATGCATGCCAAGGAGGTCCAAAACGAACCTAACTTCAAAAACAAAAAAACGAACCTCGTTTTCCATTTGAACACTCCCAACCAAAGGTTCAAGGCTGTCACACGGGATGCGCAGAACGAGCACATTTGCACCATGGCAAGCCTGTCACGCGGTATGCGCACATCTATGTGGTTTCACTGTAATAAATTCATAATAACAATAACTCTGCACGAGCTGTACAAATACCCAACTCCAACTGTGTCAAGCCCCAACACAGGAGCTAAATTCTCCTTCATTTTCGCCCTTTCTGAACCTCCCGCGAGCACTAGCTAATGTCGCAACTACCACGACCAAGTAAACCTCACGCCAGCAGGCAAGCACCACCGTCATCATCTCGCTCTCAAGCCTCGAGTAGGTTTACGAGCTGGTCTAAAAATAATAAGGAGAGGAGAGGCTGATTATAACTTGCTACTCACATCTAAGTTGTTTTTATTTGTTCCAAAAAAAAGTTGTTTTTATTTGGGGATAGTTACAGCTGACCTGAGTTCAGGCACAGGCGCCACCAGGGAACAAAAAACCAACAAGGTACCCACCTCACCTGACCTGGAGTCAGTCTCCTCGTCTCCACCAGTCAGTCATTCTATACAACCTTTTTTTTTTACTTCAGACAATAATCACATGACTAAACTGTATCTAGAAATTAAATTCGCAGAACTAATTCAATGGAGAAGTTCCGAAAATTGCCCAACCGTGCAAAGATCCGGCTGAAAAAACGCACACAAGTTATAGACTACACCCAAGCCCTTTCGCTCCTAACCCTAGCAAGAGATGATCTTGGGCGCACCGCGCTGCTACCTTTCCTTCATCGGTGAGATGTTGTCCCCCTATCCTCGTTCACCAGACCTATTGCTGTGGGAGCGCTAGAAGGCCTAAATCTATGATGGAGATGTGGTTTCCTCCATTTGGAAATTTTAGGCAGGCCTTCGTTGTCCGCCGCTTCAACCCTTACGACAGATAGTGGCGACGGCATACAATAACTTAGTCCTCGGTGGTGCACCGTTGATAGTGATGGCGTTTCTCGTTGATTAATTCTTCCATCTCGATGTTTTTGTATGTTGGCAATGTCTATGGTTCGCAGGCAAAGATTCTCACCATTCATTTTGTACGTGAAACTAGAGACTGTCGGTGTGGCGGAGCCAAAACTATCATTTGCGGTCATTCTGGTCACGTTGGTGCATCCTTAGGTGTCGACGTGATGCGCGCGAGTTTTATTGGAAGCTGAGCTTTTCTGGTTGTGACATTTTCTTTTCTACGGTGGTTCTGCAAAACCTTGGTCATGATAACTTTCCGTCCGTGAACAATGTTAGGATGGCTTGAGCATTGGAGCGGTACACCATCGGCCTATTCGAGAGCCCCAGGGACCCCGGCACAATTTCTTTGTACAGTGATATTATGTTTCTACTGCTAGTTTGGTTTATAGACTCAAGTGTTTTTTGTTAAGAAAAAAGGTACAAACACCAAGTTCTTTTGTACTCCATGTCTAATTTTGCATGCCACACAACTAAGTAAAACCTCACGCCAGCAGCACTGAGCCACTGACCATCCCCTCTCTGAAGTAGAAGTGAGTGTATGCATGTGTATATGAGCCCTTGCGTCTGTACTGTGTTTAAAAAAACAAGAAAGTGGAGTACGTATTACCGTGCAGTTTTTGACGCGCACGGCGGGCGCACCCACCTAGAGTTTCCTCCTCCATCGCTCCGCTCCTTCCGTGCATGCACCCACCGACCCGGTCACCACCAACGCCGACGCGTCTTCCTCCCCGCCTGCCGCCCGGTAATCTCTCCATAAATATATACCAAAGTCGTCTTCTCCACCCCGGCCGGTCTCACCCCAAACCCATTCTCCATCCCCACCTCCACCTCCTCCGATCCCATCCACCCCCACCCTCACCGCCACCAAGTCAAAGATCCAACCTTTACCTCCATCGACATGACGAACCCATCGCCGGCGCCAGCCAAGGGGGCGTCGCTCTGGGGCAGCCAGCTGAAGCAGCTGCGCTCCCTCTTCGACCGCTTCGACATGGACGGCGACGGCAGCCTCACCCAGCTCGAGCTGGCGGCCCTCCTCCGCTCCCTCGGCCTACGCCCCACGGGCGACGAGTCGCGCGCGCTGCTCCTCGCCATCGACGCCGACGGCAGCGGCACCGTGGAGTTCGACGAGCTGGCGCGCGCCATCGCGCCGGTCCTCACCGCCCACGCGCCGCGGCTCGTCGACCAGGCGCAGCTGCTCGAGGTCTTCCGCGCCTTCGACCGCGACGGCAACGGCTACATCTCCGCCGCCGAGCTCGCGCGCTCCATGGCCAAGCTGGGCCAGCCGCTCACCTTCGAGGAGCTGCGGACCATGATGCGGGACGCGGACGCGGACGGGGACGGCGTGATTAGCTTCGGGGAGTTCGCCGCCGTCATGGCCCGGTCCGCGCTCGACTTCCTCGGAGTCCCCGCCGCCTAAGATGTGAGATGACGACCGGGCGGGCTCCGGCTGGCTCTGATCGGATCGACCGGTAGTATGATTCTTCTTCTTTGGTAGAAGTAGAACTAGTGGTAGTAGGATGGTTCAAGGCCCGGATTGGATCAACTGTAACGAACTCACACGGAATTGCAACGTTGACCTGAATGTGTATAAATTTTGGTAATTTGGTCAATCGATGCGTCCGCTGCTTGTTGGTGATATTTCTGCCGTATGGACCCGTCCGGCCTGCCCATTTTTGCAGATGGCGATGGACATTAATTGACTCATTCGGTTTACTGAGTCCTGATTATGATCTTCGTTCGAATTATTTACGTAAAATTATTTCATCTTTCAACTGTTTGAAATCATCACGCCGGTGGAGCTGTCGTTGCCCTGCAGCAGCTAGTCTGAGATATAGCTGGCCAAACGGGCCGGCCCGGCCCGACACAGCACGGCCCATCCTAATCGTGCCTGGCACGGCCCGGCCCGCCGAGGCATGATTATTATACGGGCTGTGCCGTGCCAGCCCGCGTGCTGCAGCCTGCAGTCCAAGCACGGCCCATATGCTAGTCGGGCCGGCCCACAGGCCACCTATTTTGCGCACCGGGCGTTTTTAGCCTATTTTTACCTGTTGGGCCATATTAGGATACATAAAAAAAATAAAAAATAAAATATAATCGGGCCGGGCCATGCCGGCTTGCGTGCTCGGCCTTCAGGCCCAGGCACAGCCCCTGGGGTGCCGCGTGTCGGGCCTGGCCCGTTTAGCACGTGCCGTGCCGGCCGTGCTATCGGGCCGGCCCAGCTATCCCGGCCTGTTTGGCCACCTATAGTCTGAGAGGCCTGACACTACGCGCAAAGCCAGGTCTTAGCCTCGATCCACCGTTCGTGACCGAGCACGGCGGCGCCTCAAGGGACTCTCTTGGTGGGTGGGGTCTGGGGCCACTTGTCATTGAAACAATCCTGGACATATCATTTAACTAAATTAAACCTTTTAAGTATATATATAAAGCGCCCCTTTTTGAAAAAAATTGGGGCAAATGATCCCCCGGATGAATCTAGGGGTTAGGATGTAGAGTAAGGAAGGAGATTTGATGACTGGAGAGGTGAAGGGGTCGCTGCCCCTGCCATGAAGCAATTTAGGCGGGTGGAGTTGTCGTGGAGGAGACGACAGAAGAGAGAGACAGAGGAAGAGGAGATGTTAGAAGGGAGACGGAGGCGAAGAAAATAGATGCAGCGGCTGGGAATAATTCTCCCAGTGTATGGGATATTGGGTGGATGAGATCAACCGCATTACCAAAGAACAACAAAACGACTCTCGAGTAGCCTACTCTAGGGCCACACAAAGCAGGGCAACCAGTAAGACCCCCTTCTTCCCCCGCTGCCACCTCAGGTCCCCATCGTATGGTTTGTGTCATGGGTACCCTCCCTCCCTTGCCTCTGTCGGCCTCTGCCGCAGTGGTAACGGCCTCGCTATGGAAGGCTGAGGGGGGTTTTCTCGTGTGGTGCTTGTGCTGCAGGAGGTGTTAACACACGAACACGTCACGTGTACCCTCGACGCCGGGGGTGATGCACCGCAGCTCACGTTGAAGGAGACCCGACCGACAGCGCAATACGCAAGACAGTCGGCGGGCGCTTTTGCAGACCCGAAACCCCGCGCACCCGGGAGGGACCCCGTCAGGGATTGCGGCGGCTATGGGCTGCCCTAGGTCGATTCGCTCGCCCCTAGAGCCTCGGGATTCTCAGCTCTCAAACACGAAGAACAGCGAAGAACGAGAGAGAAAAACGGTGGAGAGATAAAACGTAGATGAAAAAGTAGTATATTGATTTGTTCGATTGTGTGTTGTTTCAATCGGCCGTCACCACCAACATATATAAGAGGCGGCTGGACTTCCCGTACAAGCAAAGGATTTATCTAGGCTTTCCTTACAAGAAAATTACATCAATTCACATCCAAAACCCTAGTCAAATTCGGACTGGTTTTATCCGAACTTTCCAAAACTGTTCGATTTAAACTGGCTGCACCTTGTGGGTCTTTTTTGCAGTGGTAAACGATCTCGGATGAAAACAAGCCCAAAAGCAATCTTGACCGTTTCGACGAGACAAACAACTATCATGTTGAAGGTTTTTTTGATCAGAGATCATCTTGAGGGTCAGATCGGTCTCGCAACACAGGCTATTTCCTCGCGCTACCCGTCAGACATGTGTCTGGTGGGGCGCGCCACATCTCGCTGTTGGGTTTCGTAGTAATTTCAAAAAAATTCCTACGCACACGCAAGATCATGGTGATGCATAGCAACGAGAGGGGAGAGTGTTGTCTACGTACCCACGCAGACCGACTGCGGAAGCGTTGACACAACGTAGAGGAAGTAGTCGTACGTCTTCACGATCCAACCGATCAAGCACCGAAACTACGGCACCTCCGAATTCGAGCACATGTTCAGCTCGATGACGATCCCCGGACTCCGATCCAGCAAAGTGTCGGAGAAGAGTTCTGTCAGCACGACGGTGTGGTGACGATCTTGATGTACTACAGAAGCAGGGCTTTGCCTAAACTCCGCTACAGTATTATCGAGGAATATGGTGGCTGGGGGCACCGCACACGGCTAAGGAATAGATCACGTGGATTAACTTGTGTGTTCTAGGGTGCCTCAGTATATAAAGGACTAGAGGGGGGAGGCTGGCCGGCCACAGGAGGCACGCCAGGAGAGTCCTACTCCCTCTGGGAGTAGGATTCCCCCCCCCCCCAATCCTAGTTGGAATAGGACTCCTTGAGGGGGGGAAAGAGAGAGAGGGGGCCGGCCACCTCTCCTAGTCCTAATAGGACTAGGGGAAGGGGGGAGGCGCACAGCCACCTTGGGCTGTCCCTTTCTCCTTTCCACTAAAGCCCACTAAGGCCCATATAGCTCCCGGGGGGTTCCGGTAACCTCCGGGTACTCCGATAAAATCCCGATTTCACCCGGAACACTTCCGATATCCAAACATAGGCTTCCAATATATCAATCTTTACATCTCGACCATTTCGAGACTCCTCGTCATGTCCCTGATCACATCCGGGACTCCGAACAACCTTCGGTACATCAAAATGCATAAACTCATAATATAACTGTCATCGTAACCTTAAGCGTGCGGACCCTACGGGTTCGAGAACAATGTAGACATGACCGAGACACGTCTCCGGTCAATAACCAATAGCGGGACCTGGATGCCCATATTGGCTCCTACATATTCTACGAAGATCTTTATCGGTCAGACCGCATAACAACATATGTTGTTCCCTTTGTCATCGGTATGTTACTTGCCCGAGATTCGATCGTCGGTATCCAATACCTAGTTCAATCTCGTTACCGGCAAGTCTCTTTACTTGTTCTGTAATACATCATCTCGCAACTAACTCATTAGTTGCAATGCTTGCAAGGCTTATGTGATGTGCATTACCGAGAGGGCCCAGAGATACCTCTTCGACAATCGAAGTGACAAAACCTAATCTCGAAATACGCCAACCCAACATGTACCTTTGGAGACACCTGTAGTACTCCTTTATAATCACCCAGTTACGTTGTGACGTTTGGTAGTACCCAAAGTGTTCCTCCGGTAAACGGGAGTTGCATAATCTCATAGTTATAGGAACATGTATAAGTCATGAAGAAAGCAATAGCAACATACTAAACAATCGGGTGCTAAGCTAATGGAATGGGTCATGTCAATCAGATCATTCTCTTAATGATGTGATCCCGTTAATCAAATAACAACTCATTGTTCATGGTTAGGAAACATAACCATCTTTGATTAACGAGCTAGTCAAGTAGAGGCATACTAGTGACACTTTGTTTGTCTATGTATTCACACATGTATTATGTTTCCGGTTAATACAATTCTAGCATGAATAATAAACATTTATCATGATTATAAGGAAATAAATAATAACTTTATTATTGCCTCTAGGGCATATTTCCTTCAGTCTCCCACTTGCACTAGAGTCAATAATCTAGATTACACCGTAATGATTCTAACACCCATGGAGCCTTGGTGCTGATCATGTTTTGCTCGTGGAAGAGGCTTAGTCAACGGGTCTGCAACATTCAGATCCGTATGTATCTTGCAAATCTCTATGTCTCCCACCTGGACTAGATCCCGGATGGAATTGAAGCATCTCTTGATGTGCTTGGTTCTCTTGTGAAATCTGGATTCCTTTGCCAAGGCAATTGCACCAGTATTGTTACAAAAGATTTTCATTGGACCCGATGCACTAGGTATGACACCTAGATCGGATATGAACTCCTTCATCTAGACTCCTTCGTTCATTGCTTCCGAAGCAGCTATGTACTCCGCTTCACATGTAGATCCTGCTACGACGCTTTGTTTAGAACTGCACCAACTGACAGCTCCACCGTTTAATGTAAACACGTATCCGGTTTGCGATTTAGAATCATCCGGATCAGTGTCAAAGCTTGCATCAACGTAACCTTTTACGATGAGCTCTTTGTCACCTCCATATACGAGAAACATATCCTTAGTCCTTTTCAGGTATTTCAGGATGTTCTTGACCGCTGTCCAGTGATCCACTCCTGGATTACTTTGGTACCTCCCTGCTAGACTTATAGCAAGGCACACATCGGGTCTGGTACACAGCATTGCATACATGATAGATCCTATGGCTGATGCATAGGGAACATCTTTCATATTCTCTCTATCTTCTGCAGTGGTCGGGCATTGAGTCTTACTCAACTTCACACCTTGTAACACAGGCAAGAATCCTTTCTTTGCTTGATCCATTTTGAACTTCTTCAAAATCTTGTCAAGGTATGTGCTTTGTGAAAGTCCAATTAAGCGTCTTGATCTATCTCTATAGATCTTTATGCCTAATATGTAAGCAGCTTCACCGAGGTCTTTTATTGAAAAACTCTTATTCAAGTATCCCTTTGTGCTATCCAGAAATTCTATATTATTTCCAATTAGTAATATGTCATCCACATATAATATCAGGAATGCTACAGAGCTCC